AGCGTGAATTAGACTAGGATAAAGTATGCAAAATGAAGCTGAGGACTTTGTGAAAAAATGCGAAGTTGTTTGCTGTTCTAATTGTATGGGTTTGGAGATGTTTTTGGCTTGGATTAATAACAGGCAGGAAGCGCGAGGAAACGCAGCGAATATGGACGCGTACGCGGAAGGTGACGGCGGAGGAAGCGCGGATATGGAGGTGAAAATGGTGAAGGTGATGGCGCGAGGAAGGTGACGGCGCATGGGTGTGAATATGGAGGTGATGAAAGGTGACGAGAGGAAACGCATGATGTATATGACAAGTTGGTGTCGTACTTAAGCGGAGCGCGCGCTGTGCATGTATGAAGGTGTCGAAGGTGTTCATATTGCCTAAGACGCGTACGTGCACATGTCATGTCGCATAGGAAGCGTAGGTATGGTTGTGCAAGTCGTAAATGGCCACTTTGGTGGTTTAACATTGTTTCCAGGCCGCGTATGCGCAAATATGGGGTGCGGCGGCTATCTGCACTGCTGTGTATGAAGGTGTCGGTCTGTGTGGGGTTCCTATCGGAGAGAATACGTATGCTGCGTTGTAGGAGTGAGCTGCTGGCCACACGTTTGTATTGGAGTGCGCCACACCACCCCCCTTTTTGTTTTGTTACTATATATAGTGTAGCCATCCACCCCAGCCTATTCTGAGGGCCAGAAGGGGTATTGGGGGCCATCGTGTGCAGTCTATGGCCACGTATGTGGACATGTGAGTGTGTAAATGTGTTGTACCAATGTATACGAGTGATAAACACTAATAGGTGTGTCGGTCAAAGTCAAATGTAGACGGCCATCTTAGGCTGAAAGCACCATATCCCGTCTGCTCTGTGAAGTTAAGCAGCCTCAAGCTCGGGTAGTACTCGGGTGGGTGACCACCGGGGAAGTCCGGGTGCTTACTTTTTTAGCCCGTTTTGAGCTGTTTACCGACTTTGCGTGTGTTTGCAAACGCAAGATATGATGTCTGGCATGTGCCCACACGACATCTTGGTTTTAGTATGCCTGGCGAGCCACTACACACGAGATCTTGTTTTTTGTATGGTGTTCTTTAATTTGATTATTATGAAGATGAAAGAGAACCGTTAGAACGGGTATGAAGGGTGTTCTAGGGGTGCTTTTCGGTGCTCTTTCACGTGGACATATCGCAGCATGCGACATGTCAGCGGAACACTGTCTAAATTAATAAATACTGTTTTGGCCGATTTCTAAAAGCGTCTATAAAAGGGCATAAGTGCAATGACTCGTCTTTGTAACCCTGCGGCCTAGGCGTAGTTTTTCACGGGGAATCCGAATATCAAAGGTAGATTTATGTACAACATGTACTTTTTTTGCAACATGTACTTTTTATCTACGGGACATAGACATATGTAAAAACACACGGCGGAGCCGTTCCCGCAATCAGAATTTGTCTAACTCTTCTAGATCAAAAGTTATTCAGCGAAATGTGAGACTTTGTTTGGCATGCTCTTTTTTTAGGTGGTTTTTTCCGGTTTTATGTGCCGCCCGGCAGATCTGGCCTGCAGACTTTAGCAGAAAACTTGGCGCATGTGTTCGCACGACCGCTCCCAAAGTTTTACAAGCATATCTCCAGTAGTTGCTTCGCAATGATTTTTTTAGTGACGCCAAAAAACGCCATTTTCGCGGAAAATGGACACCTTGGACGGCCAAAATCACCACTTTTGGCCATGTTTGGCCCTGCACATCCAGGAAGCAAATGAGACTGCTCCGTATAAAAACTGCCCTAGGGGTGCTTTTATGCGCGCATTCCCGTGGTCAAGTCAGATTTTGGCTAAATTCAAATGCCTTGTCTATAAACACTTTTTTCGACCTAAATTTTCACCTGTTTTGTCCCGAAATGATAGCACCCATTCTTTATTTGCCTATATATCGCGAAGGAGGCAACAATTTTTCCTGTTAAGTATAGATAAAAAATTTAATTCGGCGTTTTAGCGCACGAGGAACATAAAAGTCTCCATACAAGCTACCCTCAGTTTCCTAATGACTTTTGAAGTTAGGGAAAGCGTGGATCTTCTTTTTTTTCTTGTTTCCAAGACTTCACAAGGAGCTTCCAACTTCAACTCGAATTGTCATCCCGGGGCCCCCACGCATCGAAACGACACTTTTCTCGGAACTGGCGAATAAAAAATAGGTCACCAGATGCGCAAGAGTCTGGGATGACAGAATATCAAAACAATAACAGAATCGTTAGTACTTTTTTTGTCACCAGCGCCCTTTTTCTGTTTTCGCGTACATAATCGAGCATAACTTTATCAATTTATACCATATCGACCCGATATCGATTGTCACGATAGTGTACTTTTTTTAGGCGCACATGATGGTAAAAAGAACGGCCACCTATTCCCAGCCGTTCTTAAGTTATGCTCTTTTAAAGATTTTACTTTAGAGATGACACACCCTCTCATTTCACTCCATTACATGCTCTTTTTGCTGAATTACGTGGCACAGACGCAGAAAATCATGGTTCGCAAGTCGAACATTTTTGAAGAGCGCATCGAAACGGACATTTTCTTAAAATAACATGGTATACAAAAAGTGCGTTCTTGAGCCTGTAGCAAACGATTTGCATCCATGACATCCCAAAAACTTAAAATAACATATCTCGACTCCTAGAATGAAATCGACGTGAATCCTTAGGGCAGTTAGTGTGTTTTAGTATCATACTTAACACCACAAAGTTTTACGGGGCACTCTACAATACTCTTCCCAAGACGCAAGAAAATGTTCATTTTGGGGGGTCCTCTAACGCGAACTTAATGATAAAATACCGCACTTAGTCCATAAAATACGAACTTAGGCACTATTCGCACTTAGTAAAATAACTTCTCGCACTTAGAACGGGTAATTTATGTAAATTACTTTATGGGTGACTGCTGAGTTCTAACAAAACTGAAAGATACTGACTAGCTGCTGGCGCGGCGGTTACTTTTCCAGCTATAAATAGATGTTAAACGAGTAGTCTGTAACTGTCAGCAGTAATCAATTCCGGTCAATCTGCTGTAGATTAACGGGAATTTTTGTTAAGACGACGTAAACAAAAGCGAGTATCTTTCTTGTGACGGTTTCCTAGTATATGTGAGGTGACAAGTCGGTTACTGAGTGTAATTTTGGAAATGGCGTGTGGGTTTCTAAGATTATAGTTGGTTTTTGAGGCGTTACTTTGCTGTTTAGGGTGATTTCTCGGTCTTATTTTAAGATAAGATTGAGTGAAACTCTGGCGATTTATGGTTTTTTAGATGTGTCTTTGTAGGAATAGTTCTGCTGTTTCTAAGACGTGTCTTTAAGACAAACCTTTAAAAATCGTGCGTTATTATTGCTTTGGGGAAACTTAGAGCGGTTATTTCGTGCGTGCAGAAATTGAGGTTGTACTCGTATGCTCTGCATAAGAATATAGCTTTATTTGACGCATTTTATGCGTTGCTCTGGGTATTTTGCGCTGAAGCGATGTGGAATTGCTGACGAGTGTGTGCTTTCGGGATAGTGACCTGACTGTGTGTGCTTGGATGCGAGGAAGCGTTTGCTGACGTTGCGAGGTGCTACATCAACGCTCTGTCGGTGCCGGTGCGAAGGTGTGCTGCGGTTGGTTGTATAGTGTTTCGTGCAGTTTTCGGATTGTGTGTCATTATGCGATACCTTCTGTGGTGCGTTTTGCGCTGGATTTTTCCGGTGGAAAGTTTCAATTTCGGGTAGAACCGTTTTTGATCTGGGGCTAGTTATGCGGCGTGCGGAGGGGACTACAACCCAAAGTATGCTGCGTCGTGCTCTATTATTCGCTTCTTGATCTACCTATTTTTAGGTGGAACTGTTGAAGTGAGGATCATATTTTTGTCTTTCTGTGCAAAAAGATTCTCGGCTATTAATGGCGGCTTTGAGAAAAGCTGCGAGTGGCCTAGCGACTGTTTCGGCGGTTGCGGGGCTGTTTGCGGCTGGCCTCTGTGTTGTTGTTTTGTGCTGGGGGCGACTTGTCGTCTTCTTTAGTATGGAGGATATAAACCTGGTTGATCCTGCCAGTAGTCATACGCTTGTCTCAAAGATTAAGCCATGCATGTCTAAGTATAAACAATTTTGTACTGTGAAACTGCGAATGGCTCATTATATCAGTTATAGTCTACTCGATAGTACCTTACTACTTGGATACCCGTAGTAATTCTAGAGCTAATACATGCATCAATACCCAACTGCTTGTCGGGCGGGTAGCATTTATTAGATTGAAACCAATGCAGTCTTCGGGCTGGTATTGTGTTGAGTCATAATAACTGTGCGGATCGCGCTTTTGCGCGATAAATCGATTGAGTTTCTGCCCTATCAGCTTTGGATGGTAGGATATGGGCCTACCATGGCATTAACGGGTAACGGGGAATTAGGGTTTGATTCCGGAGAGGGAGCCTTAGAAACGGCTACCACATCCAAGGAAGGCAGCAGGCGCGTAAATTACCCAATCCTGACACAGGGAGGTAGTGACAATAAATAACAATGCTCTGGCTCTTCGAGTCGGGCAATTGGAATGAGAACAATTTAAATCCCTTAACGAGGATCAATTGGAGGGCAAGTCTGGTGCCAGCAGCCGCGGTAATTCCAGCTCCAATAGCGTATATTAAAGTTGTTGCAGTTAAAAAGCTCGTAGTTGGATTTCTGTTTTGGATGTCCGGTCCGCTCCCTCTGGGAGTGTGTACTTATGGATATTCGAGGCATTTTTTGTGAGGCTGCCTTTCTGCCATTAAGTTGGTGGGTTGGTGGGCTTGCATCGTTTACTGTGAAAAAATTAGAGTGTTTAAAGCAGGCGTTTGCTCATTTGAATACATTAGCATGGAATAATAAGATACGGCCTTGGTGGTCTATTTTGTTGGTTTGCACACCAGGGTAATGATTAATAGGGACAGTTGGGGGTATTCATATTTCAGCGTCAGAGGTGAAATTCTTGGATCGCTGAAAGATGATTTAAGTATGTTAGAGAGAGCAGAGTAGCGTGAATTAGACTTGGTTTAAGTATGTTAAAGAGAGCAGAATAGCGCGAATTAGACTTGGTTTAAGTATGTTAGAGAGAGCAGAGTAGCGTGAATTAGACTTAGTTTAAGTATGTTAAAGAGAGCGGAATAGCGTGAATTAGACTAGGATAAAGTATGCAAAATGAAGCTGAGGACTTTGTGAAAAAATGCGAAGTTGTTTGCTGTTCTAATTGTATGGGTTTGGAGATGTTTTTGGCTTGGATTAATAACAGGCAGGAAGCGCGAGGAAACGCAGCGAATATGGACGCGTACGCGGAAGGTGACGGCGGAGGAAGCGCGGATATGGAGGTGAAAATGGTGAAGGTGATGGCGCGAGGAAGGTGACGGCGCATGGGTGTGAATATGGAGGTGATGAAAGGTGACGGGAGGAAACGCATGATGTATATGACAAGTTGGTGTCGTACTTAAGCGGAGCGCGCGCTGTGCATGTATGAAGGTGTCGAAGGTGTTCATATTGCCTAAGACGCGTACGTGCACATGTCATGTCGCATAGGAAGCGTAGGTATGGTTGTGCAAGTCGTAAATGGCCACTTTGGTGGTTTAACATTGTTTCCAGGCCGCGTATGCGCAAATATGGGGTGCGGCGGCTATCTGCACTGCTGTGTATGAAGGTGTCGGTCTGTGTGGGGTTCCTATCGGAGAGAATACGTATGCTGCGTTGTAGGAGTGAGCTGCTGGCCACACGTTTGTATTGGAGTGCGCCACACCACCCCCCTTTTTGTTTTGTTACTATATAAAGTGTAGCCATCCACCCAGCCAATTCTGAGGGCCAGAAGGGGTATTGGGGGCCATCGTGTGCAGTCTATGGCCACGTATGTGGACATGTGAGTGTGTAAATGTGTTGTACCAATGTATACGAGTGATAAACACTAATAGGCGTGTCGGTCAAAGTCAAATGTAGACGGCCATCTTAGGCTGAAAGCACCATATCCCGTCTGCTCTGTGAAGTTAAGCAGCCTCAAGCTCGGGTAGTACTCGGGTGGGTGACCACCGGGGAAGTCCGGGTGCTGTCTACTTTTTAGCCCGTTTTGAGCTGTTTACCGACTTTGCGTGTGTTTGCAAACGCAAGATATGATGTCTGGCATGTGCCCACACGACATCTTGGTTTTAGTATGCCTGGCGAGCCACTACACACGAGATCTTGTTTTTTGTATGGTGTTCTTTAATTTGATTATTATGAAGATGAAAGAGAACCGTTAGAACGGGTATGAAGGGTGTTCTAGGGGTGCTTTTCGGTGCTCTTTCACGTGGACATATCGCAGCATGCGACATGTCAGTGGAACACTGTCTAAATTAATAAATACTGTTTTGGCCGATTTCTAAAAGCGTCTATAAAAGGGCATAAGTGCAATGACTCGTCTTTGTAACCCTGCGGCCTAGGCGTAGTTTTTCACGGGGAATCCGAATATCAAAGGTAGATTTATGTACAACATGTACTTTTTTTGCAACATGTACTTTTTATCTACGGGACATAGACATATGTAAAAACACACGGCGGAGCTGTTCCCGCAATCAGATTTTGTCTAACTTATCTAGATCAAAAGTTATTCAGCGAAACGTGAGACTTTGTTTGGCATGCTCTTTTTTTAGGTGGTTTTTTCCGGTTTTATGTGCCGCCCGGCAGATCTGGCCTGCAGACTTTAGCAGAAAACTTGGCGCATGTGTTCGCACGACCGCTCCCAAAGTTTTACAAGCATATCTCCAGTAGTTGCTTCGCAATGATTTTTTTAGTGACGCCAAAAAACGCCATTTTCGCGGAAAATGGACACCTTGGACGGCCAAAATCACCACTTTTGGCCATGTTTGGCCCTGCACATCCAGGAAGCAAATGAGACTGCTCCGTATAAAAACTGCCTTAGGGGTGCTTTTATGCGCGCATTCCCGTGGTCAAGTCAGATTTTGGCTAAATTCAAATGCCTTGTCTATAAACACTTTTTTCGACCTAAATTTTCACCTGTTTTGTCCCGAAATGATAGCACCCATTCTTTATTTGCCTATATATCGCGAAGGAGGCAACTTTTTTCCTGTTAAGTATAGATAAAAAATTTAATTCGGCGTTTTAGCGCACGAGGAACAAAAGTCTCCATACAAGCTACCCTCGGTTTCTAATGACTTTTTGAGTTAGGGAAGCGTGGATCTTCTTTTTTTCTTGTTTCCAGGACTTCACATGAACTTCCAACTCAACTCGAATTGTCATCCCGGGCCCACCACGCATCGAAACGACACTTTTCTCGGAACTGGCGAATAAAAAATAGGTCACCAGATGCGCAAGAGTCTGGGATGACAGAATATCAAAACAATAACAGAATCGTTAGTACTTTTTTTGTCACCAGCGCCCTTTTTCTGTTTTCGCGTACATAATCGAGCATAACTTTATCAATTTATACCATATCGACCGATATCGATTGTCACGATAGTGTACTTTTTTTAGGCGCACATGATGGTAAAAAGAACGGCCAACTATTCCCAGCCGTTCTTAAGTTATGCTCTTTTAAAGATTTTACTTTAGAGATGACACACCCTCTCATTTCACTCCCATTACATGGCTCTTTTTTGCTGAATTACCGTGGCACAGACGCAGAAAAATCATGGTTTCGCAAAGTCGAACATTTTTTGAAGAGCGCATCGAAACGGACATTTTCTTAAAATAACATGGTATACAAAAAGTGCGTTCTTGAGCCTGTAGCAAACGATTTGCATCCATGACATCCCAAAAACTTAAAATAACATATCTCGACTCCTAGAATGAAATCGACGTGAATCCTTAGGGCAGTTAGTGTGTTTTAGTATCATACTTAACACCACAAAGTTTTACGGGGCACTCTACAATACTCTTCCCAAGACGCAAGAAAATGTTCATTTTGGGGGGTCCTCTAACGCGAACTTAATGATAAAATACCGCACTTAGTCCATAAAATACGAACTTAGGCACTATTCGCACTTAGTAAAATAACTTCTCGCACTTAGAACGGGTAATTTATGTAAATTACTTTATGGGTGACTGCTGAGTTCTAACAAAACTGAAAGATACTGACTAGCTGCTGGCGCGGCGGTTACTTTTCCAGCTATAAATAGATGTTAAACGAGTAGTCTGTAACTGTCAGCAGTAATCAATTCCCGTCAATCTGCTGTAGATTAACGGGAATTTTTGTTAAGACGACGTAAACAAAAGCGAGTATCTTTCTTGTGACGGTTTCCTAGTATATGTGAGGTGACAAGTCGGTTACTGAGTGTAATTTTGGAAATGGCGTGTGGGTTTCTAAGATTATAGTTGGTTTTTGAGGCGTTACTTTGCTGTTTAGGGTGATTTCTCGGTCTTATTTTAGGATAAGATTGAGTGAACTCTGGCGATTTATGGTTTTTTAGATGTGTCTTTGTAGGAATAGTTCTGCTGTTTCTAAGACGTGTCTTTAAGACAAACCTTTAAAAATCGTGCGTTATTATTGCTTTGGGGAAACTTAGAGCGGTTATTTCGTGCGTGCAGAAATTGAGGTTGTACTCGTATGCTCTGCATAAGAATATAGCTTTATTTGACGCATTTTATGCGTTGCTCTGGGTATTTTGCGCTGAAGCGATGTGGAATTGCTGACGAGTGTGTGCTTTCGGGATAGTGACCTGACTGTGTGTGCTTGGATGCGAGGAAGCGTTTGCTGACGTTGCGAGGTGCTACATCAACGCTCTGTCGGTGCCGGTGCGAAGGTGTGTTGCGGTTGGTTGTATAGTGTTTCGTGCAGTTTTCGGATTGTGTGTCATTATGCGATACCTTCTGTGGTGCGTTTTGCGCTGGATTTTTCCGGTGGAAAGTTTCAATTTCGGGTAGAACCGTTTTTGATCTGGGGCTAGTTATGCGGCGTGCGGAGGGGACTACAACCCAAAGTATGCTGCGTCGTGCTCTATTATTCGCTTCTTGATCTACCTATTTTTAGGTGGAACTGTTGAAGTGAGGATCATATTTTTGTCTTTCTGTGCAAAAAGATTCTCGGCTATTAATGGCGGCTTTGAGAAAAGCTGCGAGTGGCCTAGCGACTGTTTCGGCGGTTGCGGGGCTGTTTGCGGCTGGCCTCTGTGTTGTTGTTTTGTGCTGGGGGCGACTTGTCGTCTTCTTTAGTATGGAGGATATAAACCTGGTTGATCCTGCCAGTAGTCATACGCTTGTCTCAAAGATTAAGCCATGCATGTCTAAGTATAAACAATTTTGTACTGTGAAACTGCGAATGGCTCATTATATCAGTTATAGTCTACTCGATAGTACCTTACTACTTGGATACCCGTAGTAATTCTAGAGCTAATACATGCATCAATACCCAACTGCTTGTCGGGCGGGTAGCATTTATTAGATTGAAACCAATGCAGTCTTCGGGCTGGTATTGTGTTGAGTCATAATAACTGTGCGGATCGCGCTTTTGCGCGATAAATCGATTGAGTTTCTGCCCTATCAGCTTTGGATGGTAGGATATGGGCCTACCATGGCATTAACGGGTAACGGGGAATTAGGGTTTGATTCCGGAGAGGGAGCCTTAGAAACGGCTACCACATCCAAGGAAGGCAGCAGGCGCGTAAATTACCCAATCCTGACACAGGGAGGTAGTGACAATAAATAACAATGCTCTGGCTCTTCGAGTCGGGCAATTGGAATGAGAACAATTTAAATCCCTTAACGAGGATCAATTGGAGGGCAAGTCTGGTGCCAGCAGCCGCGGTAATTCCAGCTCCAATAGCGTATATTAAAGTTGTTGCAGTTAAAAAGCTCGTAGTTGGATTTCTGTTTTGGATGTCCGGTCCGCTCCCTCTGGGAGTGTGTACTTATGGATATTCGAGGCATTTTTTGTGAGGCTGCCTTTCTGCCATTAAGTTGGTGGGTTGGTGGGCTTGCATCGTTTACTGTGAAAAAATTAGAGTGTTTAAAGCAGGCGTTTGCTCATTTGAATACA